TTACCCAATTTACCTTGAACTTCAACTATCTTAGACTCATAATATTCATAGTCGTCTGTCTTCTTTGGTTCATAAGGTATAACAAGTTTGTATGCTTTGCCTTCTTTAAGGTTTGAAAACCTTCTGTCAAAATTTTCTTTGACTGCTAACATACCGTCAATGTATAAGTCTTCAAAAGTTGCACCACTTTTTCTAACAACAGCAAACTTAACTGGTGCAATGTTCCAAATTTTGTCAAATGTAGACTTTTCAAAATTGTAGAAGTAAACATTCAAATATGCGAATGGAGCTAACTTATCTTTGACTTCTGTCATGTACTTATTTACTGAGATGAATTTTGCCATCTTTTCTATCGGATAAAAAAATATTTTTTTTTAAATTTACTCAGAAAAATTTTTCTTTGTATATACGCCGTTCTGTATGTCTAAAAGACTTTTGACATTTGCCAAGAATGTTCGTTTAGACGCTGTCATATAACCATACTCTTGACAATATTGTTTATACGAGTCGTACAATGACCTTTCATCTAAACACTCAAAGTTAGTCTCATCTATAAACAGTTCATATACACTCTTGTTTGCTTCTAACAACGTTTGTCTTTCTTCGGTATGTGGAATTTGTCTTGGATTGAACTTTGAAATATCTAATGTCATGAAATATGAGAACAAGTGGTTGTAAAAGTTAGGTGTCAAAGTTTCTGCTAAGTCGTCAAAATATTCTGTATCTTGCATATGAGAATCTGACGTTCTGACAACTACATATCTTCTGTCAGAACTTTCTAACTTCATCGGAACAACATTGTTTGAAACCATGACGAAGTTTGCAACATTTTCACAAACTCTTTGGTCTTTATATTTTCTTTCAACAACTCCAACTTTGTCTGTTATAAGACTCTTCAAAGCATCTGAGTTTAAAACCTTTGTTGTATCTATACTTTGAAGTTCGTTACATACTATAAGTTTCATATTCTCTATTGAAGAGTTAAATTTACCGCAGATGTTTTCTAAGTTTGTCATATTAGGGTTCGAATAGCCCTCTAACAGTTTGCATAAGATATCTGTAAAGAAAGTGTTCTTACCAGTTCCTTGCTTTCCAATTATAATGAGAGCAGTTTCATTTTTAGCACTTGGATGTTGTAAGATGTTTGCAAACCAACATAAGATATACTCATAAACCTTTTCGTTTCCATTGCATATAATTTCTTTGACATGGTCTAACCAAGCTTCTATAATATTTTCTTTCCATTCTACTTGTTCATATTTATATCCAGTGAAGATAGAATAGAAGTTTGGAGATGGTGTATAGAACTTTATACCACGAACTGAAAAATCTTCTAACTTTGACAATAAGATATCCCAAGCATCTAACATCTTCATACCAACTTGTACGACTTTTATTTTCTTAAGTTTCTGTCTACATTCTTGTTCTGAAACTATGGTTGCTCTTGGTTTGTTAAAGACAACATCCCATTCTTTCATAACATAACATTCTGGGGCAGAGTCGACATAAATGACTAAACGTTTCAAATTCTCGACTGCTTTGTTATAGTCTCTAAATGGACACATATTTCTGAATGCTTGGAAGTCATAAAAATCTGAAACATCTATTCTGTACATTTTTATAAGAATAAAAAAAATATTTTTTTTATTCTTGACTTTGTTGTTGCATTTGTTGCATTTGTTGTTCTTGAGCTATTTGTTGTTGAAGTTGTTCTTGTAATACAATACTTTCACCAGTTGCATCTTCCAATTCGAAACTTTCTGCCGTCATTGACAAATACATAGGACATAAAAGTTTTACAGGAACAAAGTTTGCGTCAACTAATGTCAACGTTATACTTGCCAAAGTGTTTGAGTTCACTAAGGTTGAAAATTCTGCATTCGAATGAACAATAGGCAAACCAGCAGAGAAAGTATTGTTTATACGCATAAGTATCTTTTGGTCATAATAGTTTCTGTCGACATTCGAATAGCACTTTGAACCTAAGTTTGAAACAATATATAAGATTGGTGTGCTTAATGTCAATGGAATAGACATTCCTTGTATGACACCTTTTCCTGTTATAGGAAACTGTTGGTAGTAAAAACCAGATATAAGTTTTGTATTATAGCTCATATTGTTTATAGTAAACTCAGTCGGACATCCAAACATAATGAAACCTGCTCTAGTTGCAGCACATGTGACACTCGTCCTTAAAGTATTAAATAAGTCAACAAAACCTGTTGGTGGTATATCTGAGTAAGTATCTTCAAAGGAGTATTTTTTACCATTCACAACAATAAAGTCTTCTGGTGTCAAAAGAGCAAAACAGGCTTTAGTCGTCATTGTGTTTAAAGTTAGTTTACAATATCGTCCTTGAGGACTTTGTAAGTTTGTTGTTATAGAATTATATGACTCAGGGTTTTTAGTCGTAATAGTATAAACCATTATGTCTTCTGCCATTTACTTAGCAAATAAATTTTAATGAAATGTTGTGGTCGTCAAATATTTTTATGACGTCTGGGAAACTATACTTTAAGTTCAACGTTTCACCTCCTTTCATAACGTATATCTTGTCAATGACATTATATGAAACACCACAGCAAGCAATGTCGGGTTCTATTTCTTTGATGTTTATATCGTCTGCCTCTGTCAAAAGTTTCAATAGTTCTTTCAAAACTTCATGAGGTGCGATGACATATGAGTTCACTTTTACAGGGTTGTGTTCGACCAAGTTTAACATTATACCTAAAGCTTGACAAATCTTCTCCTGAGTTTTAAGTTTGTCTTTCAGTTGCATGTAGTCGTTTCGAATATCTGCAACAGAACTTAAGTCTCTGCTAACTTCAGGATATGTTGGTTGTTCTTTACAGGAACTATTGTTATACCATCTTCGTCTTCGTATGGTTTCCCCACTTCAACATCTCTTTCTTTGACATTGACAACAACACTTTGACTGTTTGTTTGAGTTGGTGAATTTAACTTCACATCTGCCATCGCCATTAAACCTTTTGAAACACTTACGCTTCTATTTTTCGGAAATGACATTTTACTTAGAATAAAAAGATGGACGTATTTGAGTATCTCTTCGAATTGAAGCAAAACAAAGTTTACACACACAAACAATACAAGTTCATTGATAGAATAGTTCTTTATACAAACAATGGAAAATGTTATAGAATAGCAGTCTTTGCTGAACCAAATATTTTCATAAAGCAAAGAAAGTTGGTATAACCGAGATGGTGAAAGTTCTTGACGTGACAAAAAATATAACAACAAAACTTACAGATATTTCTAAGGTAAGGTTTATAAATACAATATTATATCAAAACTGGCGTACTGTCAATATTTGACGGAGAGAAGTCAGTTCAAGAACAAACTTACTGACCTGCTGCCAAAATCTGCTCGATGGAAGCTGTCGTTATACCAATCTGAGGAGCCCCAGCAGGTTTCATCGAACGAATCTTCAAAAGAGCATCTTCCGTGAAAAGTGCTATTGGTTTTGTAAACTTCTTTGCTTTCAATTCATCTGGACCGTCTCTGTCACCAGTATATTGTATTTGAACTGTACAACAGTTGAAATACCGCCCATAAAGTCTTCTGAGTCAGCAAATGGAATGCCAAGCCAAAAGTTTGAACGGTCTCCATTTGTATATTGAGTTTTTTTGAGCTCCTGTATGAGTCCATACTTTCACATATGGCATAATAGAACTTTGCATTTCAGGGTTAATGGTTGTTGTGAAGTTGTTGTTAAAGTTCATAGCATCTAATGTCAAGTTGTATGACCTCATATCCTAACTTAGAATATTCTTCTCTTGGATAATATTTGCCATCTATGTTTTATATGATATTAATACCGGGGTTGTAGAAACAAGAATAGTCATTTATAGTTCGTCTGAACAGTACAAACATAGTATCTGCATGTTTCATTGCAGTTGTTAAAGCAATATCTGTTCTTGCACCTGGGTCAGCACTTTGGTTTCCAACTTCACCTGCAAAGTCTTTGACAGATATTTGGTGTATAGGGAACATAAGTGGAACTGCAATATATTTGGCAGCTAAAGCATTTGAAATATCTGGGTCCAACATATAGACTGCAAGTCTGCTTCTATTCTCTTGCATTCAAACTTTTCGCATGTGAACTTAACTGGGTCCCAAGCATCTCCAGCAGCATTGAAATAATAGTTTACTTCAGTGTTGAGGTTTGAGAAACCAAAGTCTAAGTCAACTTTGTTTTTGCAAAAGTCGGCGAATGACATTTTATTTGTTCCCACTACTTCTGTAAGAGTGAATGGGTCTTGTGTTGGTGCAATGACTAAGTTATTTTTGCTTGGAGTAAGTTCGATAGAAATTTTTTCCTGCCCAGTTTGGCAAGTAGTATCTTAAAAACCTGAAGATGAGGAAAGATGACAAAGGAACTCTAAGTTTCAGTTTTACTTTGGTTACTGCTGCTGCAGTTTGTCCAGAAAGGTTAACATAAACTCCTGGAACGTTAGGGTCAAGTCTTCTTATTTTCTCAATAGTTGCATACTGGTCTGTTTGTTCTCTAGCTTGTGGTTGTACTGAGTTTCTCAAAGCGAACCATTCATAGTTTGCCCATGTTACTGTTTGAACTAAGTCAGAGTTAGAATATATCTTATATCCCATGAAAACTTCTGGAGCATATTGGTATCCGACATAGAAAATTCCATTGCAACCTTTCTTGTCAGACAACTTGGCAGAAGGTTTTATTTCAATGTCTTGTTCCACGTATAAGAAAGAGTTGTCAATAGAAATTATATGAAACCTGTCGCAAGCAATATCTACTGTTGTTGAAGAACCTTCTCCAAACTCACCTACGTTTCCATAAGAAACAGCAGTTGTATATTCGTAAGTTCCAGGAACTATTTCTGACCTTCTAATGGCATTGTCGCATTCGTTATACCATTCGGAAACATTTCCATTCATGGCATCCAAAACTGTTGGCGTTATATTCTGAGCGGCGTACATTTCATATGAGTAAAAATATAGAATAGTTGGATTTATGTGTCATAATAGAACCCACTCGGACCAAGCTTTACTTTCTTCCTGACTGAGTTTTTAACTCTTCTTTTTCCTTCATTGCCCTCTGCTTGAAGTTGTTGCATCTTTGCCTCATGTTCATCTAGTATGTTGCAAATTTTCCATGTCCTTTTTGCCTTTGGGCTCTGGTCGCCCATCTCAGGTAACCTATATCCTAGAAAGAGTTTGTCATAGTTTGTATTTGAGTCGTCGCTTATTGTTTGCATGACTCTGTCCTGAGTTTCCGGTTCAAGCTCTTCAAACAGTGCCTGTCCATATGGAATATGCTCGTTTCCAAATATATGTTTTTGTAGCCATTCTGGTTTTCTTTCCATGTTACCAACTATATCTTTTGTGAATGGGAAAGCTTTTACCCAATCTTTCAGTCTTGCGTCGTTTATTTCTGTAGTTGGTTTTATTTTGTCAAGGAACATGTTTTTCAATACTAACATTTCATTTGGTACTGTCCATTTGAGTTTTCTTAAATATTCATCCCTTCTCATTTCATTGTCTGCAAAGTAAGTTTTTATGACATTTTGCAAACTTTCATTTGCAAGGTCATGTACAATAGGTTCTCTTCCTTCTGTCTCCCTAACTTTCTTTCTAAACTCTTCACCAAATATACCATCTTTATGGTTCTGTGTAGTTCTTTGAGATAAATGTTCTAGAACGTCAGGTTATATTTCCATCAGCCATGTTCATTTCATACTGGTCCAAAATATCTGCATCTTTCATATCTTTCAATGGCATTAAAGCCGCGCTGAAAATACCAGCTATATCTGGTTCACCATTGACTTCCATTGCGTCTACAACTTCTTGGAATTGTGGTTGTAAGTTTATGAACCACCTATCTGGATTAGCTTTATGACCCCATCTCATTGTAGTTCCATCGTCTGCAGAAACAAAAGTAGGTTTGTTTCCATCTTGGTTAGGTTCTGAATGAACTTTAAAACAATGTTTCATTTTCTATATGTTTTCTTGAAATTTAACCTTTTATTTTCACCGAGTTCATCCGAAGATTGAACGTTAAATGCTCGTAAGTAAAAAGGGTTGTTGTATTTTGTGTACATTTCTTTCAGTGCTTCCATTCTATGCTGAATATTTTCATCTGGTGCTGGAGTCTTTTGTATGTCGGCAAACATTTTTCGATATTCTTCTACTATGTCAGCCGAATTTTTTTAGACTCTTGGAAATATTCCATATTCTCCGCATACTCTTGTTGAGGGTCAAGATTTTTCGGCTGTTCCAAATCTTCATCTAGTTCTGTGAAGTTAGTTTCCAAAGGAGTGACTTGTTCGTTTCCTTCAGGCTCTTCTAGCTGTTGTTGCTGAACTATTTCTTCCATGTCTGGTTGTATCTGAACTTCTTCCTGTGGAGTTTCTTGTACCTCATCTGCTGGCATTTCATATATTCCGAGACCGTTTTCAACAATTTCCCTATCTACGTCATCCGCATTCATAAGCTTTTGTTCTTTCGTTCCGTCTCTATTTTTTACGCGTTTCATGACGAAAGTTGAATTGTCATTTAGCTCTGACATCAAATATCTCGGAGTAAATTCATCCATGTCATTTGGATGATATGCTATTAAATCATATCCCTTAGCGAGCTTGTATTTTCCAGGTTTGAGATTATATCCGTTTTGGTGCTGAGCCATAAAGCTAAATAGGTTCGGGTCAGTATTTCCATCCTTGAACTTTCTAATAGCTTCTTTATAATCTGTCACTAAAGTCAACAGTATCTGGGAAACCACACTCTTCTTTAAGCATTTTTAAGAATTCTTGGTTTCCTTGTTCTCTACTTCTTTTATGTCCTTGCTCTGTTTGTGGTTGTTGTTGTGCTGGATTTTGAACTGTTGGTTGCTGTGCTGGTTTTTGAACTGTTGGTTTTGGTTTGTTTGTTGTGCTGGATTTGAACTGTTGGTTGTTGTGTTGGTTTGGTGCATGCCTGTGTCTGTGTCCATGTGACGATGTAAATGTTTTAGGTAGTCCTGGTGCAGGTGCTTCTCTTGGAGGGTTTGGTGGTATATAAGTTCCACCAGCTGTGGCACATATGTTCCATCTGCAGCGTAATGTCCTACCTGACTTTTCGTTTTTAAGAAAGCATTTACTAGGTCTGTTTTGGTCTGTTGTAACTCTTTTTCTTGACTTTCCACAACAGTTGCTCTAACGGCGTCATAGGCACTTTGAACTGCCTGTCTCGTTGCTGCATCTGTTATTTCGTCATATTTTGTGCTACTTCTCTTAACTCTTTGTCGAAACCTTCAGACTTCAGTTTCTTTCCAGATGAGAAGTCGTTCACTTGTTTCACCTTACTATGAAGAGCTTCGAAGGCGTTCTTAAAGTCAGCATTTGTTAAAGCCTTCATTTGAACTGTCTTCATCCGCTTGTATTTTTGTCCTTATTGACCTATGAGTTGGGCTGCTTTAGCGTTGGCTTGGGCATCTAACCAGTCATTGTTGGCTTTTATATATTCTGCGCTTTCATTGCCTTTTGCATAGCCGCGTCGTTATTTTACTTTCTTGTGCTAAGTTTTCATACTGTACGGTTTGGTTTTGCAACTGTAAAAGTTTTTCTGCCTTTACATTTGCTTCAACTTCTTTTTTATACTTCATCGCTATCCATATATGTCTTCAGGGCTTTTTGTTTTATCTCTTCATCTTTCAGTACTTTATATCGAGTAGTATGGTTTTTCAAATTTATGACATCTTGTTCCATTTTTGCTACTTCTGCTGTTTTTCTGACACTTTTTTCGCATATTCCTCTGTACTTAGTTCTTTCAGTTGTTCTTCTTTCTTCTTTTTCTCTACGTTTAACTCATTGAGTTTCTTTGTGTGTCTGTCATATTCTAGTTTTCTTTTCGTTTTCACTTATTGTTTCTGTATGTCTATGTTTGACTTTTTGACATCTGTTATTTGATTTTTGAGTGAACTCAAATTCATTTGACTTTGAGGGTTATAAGCTGTTCCGTCTGCAGCTCCACCATAGCCTGCCATTTTCGCTAAAAGTGCCGCTCTTAAACCTCCACTCTGTGCACCAACAACTCGGTTTAAAAGCATAGGATTGCTTGACATTTGTTGCAACATAGTGGGGTCATTCAGCATTTGTTGTGTGCAACTGTTGTTGTGGTGTTAGTCTTACTATTGGATGTTTCAATGCTCTCTTCCTCTTACGTATATTCTTACGTAGCTTACGTGGCATTTTAAAGTGAAGTTAAAAACATTTACGATGAAGAAGTCTTGACAAAACATTTACGATGAAATCATGAGTTTTCTACGATGTTAGAAAACATGTTAGAAAACGTGTTAGATCTAACATTCTAACATAAACATTATTTTTGGGTCATTTACGCTCATTACGAAGAAGTCTTGACAAAACATTTACGAAGAAGTCTTGACAAAACATTTACGAAGAAGTCTTGACAAAACATTTACGAAGAAGTCTTGACAAAACATTTACGAAGAAGTCTTGACAAAACATTTACGAAGAAGTCTTGACAAAACATTTACGAAGAAGTCTTGACAAAACATTTACGAAGAAGTCTTGACAAAACATTTACGAAGAAGTCTTGACAAAACATTTACGAAGAATCTTGACAAAACATTTACGAAGAAGTCTTGACAAAACATTTACGAAGAAGTCTTGACAAAACATTTACGAAGAAGTCTTGACAAAACATTTACGAAGAAGTCTTGACAAAACATGAAAACATATATAATTTGTGAAAAGCTCCTGGAAGACCTCCGAATAAAAACTTCATTTATGTGGGCTAGAAGGCACGAAGTGCCTGGAAGACCACCCCAAGAAAAAAAAAACTTCATTATACCAATCATCCTCAGGGCTAGAAGGCACGAAGTGCCTGGAAGCCCCATTTTTTTTTTTTTTTTTTTTTTTTTTATATCGGAAAAATTAGAGATTTCGATCTCAAAATTTAAAATCGGGTTATTTTGGATTCTTTCGCTTTGGGAGGGCGCTTCGCGCCCTCCCAAAGCGATAAAAGTTCCAAAACACGGATCTGAGAAAATCTGATATCAGAAAAAATGACTTTGGATATGATGAATATCACTTTCATAATTGATACATATTATATTGCACATTATTTTGGAATTTTATTTTTTCAAAATTTTCCAAATTTAATTTTGATTTATATCTAAATTTCTTATGATTTTAAGAATACATCTCTCAATTTTATTAAGACGGTTTTTAGTTTCCCTCAAATATATGAAAATTGAGAAAAACAAAACATTTTTGGGTGAAGTACTCTGAAGTTCTGAGCCAGACTTCAAATATCTGGATACAGTGAAGTCCCCAAAATCATATGCGTTTGCCATGAATATTTGTCACTCGAATTTTGGAAATGATCTTTGTTTTCGATATTTAATTATACATACTTTCGAAATTATAAGACCTGGCTACCGTACTTTAACACAATCACTCAACCGAATCAATTGATCCAATTCTGTATTATGTTATTGGTTTATTATCCGAAAATTTGATAAAAAGTCAAAAAATGAGCGATATCAAAGATTACTGTATGAATGCACTATTTATTGATCCTTATCTGATTAATTACGAATTACTGAAATGTTTTTATTTGGTAGATTCTGATATAAATTTTAAAAATCTCTTTATTTTCTTAAGTTATACTTACAATTTGCAATCTTTTATTTTATAGATATAAACTTTTAAAATAATAACAAAATTCAATTGCATCATAACAGACTTGTTTTATTCACCGATTTTTGTAGTATTAGTGAAAACATTACATCGTCAAACACCACAAAACGCAGGATAAGAGGAAAGTAAGCGTTGATTTCATAATGTGAGATAAAAAAACTGTTTTCTATGCTAGAACTTCTCAAATTAATTTTTTAAAGATACGTATATTGTTTTTATCAACTTTTTGGGAAAGATGCCAAATGATTTTGACCAGACTTCCATCTACTTCGTCAACTCATCATTTTTGTTCTCAAGTTCCATCTTATCACTCTGAGTGTATGATATTTGTGTTTGACAATCTTTGATTTGTAATTTTAATTGAGTAATCTCATTTAAAGCAGAATTCTTTTCATTATTAAATTTCTCGTTGTCGGATGTAAGCCTTTGTATTTCAATCTTGTTTTCTGATATTGATTCAATTTGCATTTTGAGCTCACTGCGTATTTGTGAAATCTCTCACTTAAGCTCTTGTATTTGAGCTTTCTTTTCTTCTAACGCTGTCGTAAAGCTTGCTGTTTTTAAATTTACTTGTTTATCAATTTCCATTTCTGAATTTTCTTTTGATGTAGCTATTTTTTCCTTATGCTTCCGAGATTTTTCATAGATTTTAGGGAGCTCAGGTTGAATAAAAACTATAGAAAGATTATTTCTTTTATACATTTCTTTTATTACATAATTATCGAACACCCTTAAAATGAATCCCAATCCATTTGATCAATGAGGCTAGCCTGGAAGAAATCCCCTGTTTGAATTCCGAAAATGCTTTCAGAAGGTATAGCAGGAGGCTGGGGGGACATCATAACTTGTTGCATTTGAGGTTGAACTGGAGCTTGTTGCTGATTTGCCTGTTGTACCGGCTGCTGTTGAGGAGGAGTAAGTTGCTGCGATGCTTGCTGTTGGGGAGGAGAATTTGGTACTGGAACTGATTGAAGAACGATCAGATTTTGAAGAGAAGCATCAGCACCGCATACAGGGCAAAACCAATGACCTGTAGATAATGCAGATGAGAGATATTGTACCAGTGAAAAACCGTTATGATGGGCGCAAGTATTTGTTTTAACCATTGGTTGCTCTTTGGATATATCGATATTTCCGCAGATTTGATGTATACAAGCGCGAAGCCCTACGTATTCGTATTGGAATAATTGAATCATAATCGGAACTGCACAATTAACAGCTTTAATATCCAAGACATTCTCTATACCAGGTTGTGATAGGACTGCTGTAACATCAATTGGGGCTGGCTGCGAATCGTCTTTGGAAATTTCAAACGGAATACCATTAAGCTCAAACTGAATTGAAAAAGGTTGAGGGTTGCCATTGTAAAATAAAAATGTGACAATTGTTGGACGAACAGCAGGAGGAGTAGTGAATCTGAACTTATTTGCGCTCCTTCCTGGTTTGGCGAGAAGAGGACCGAAGACAGAAGCTTCAAAATTAATAATAATGCATAGGTTAAATGATGGGATATATTCGGGATTAGGCTGAGAAAGTTCAATCGAGCTTGATGTCAGAGATGGCGACGAGAAAGGTGCATCTTGCTGAGCTAGAAGGTTGTTGATTTCTTGATATATTTGTACAAGAACAGGATCGTAACGTAAATTATGGAAAATTTGAATAACGAGTCCTAACAATTTCGTCTTATTTCCACTTGCAGGAATTGCGAATTTTTGAACGATATATCTGAGTTGAGAAATTCGAAGAAGCTGAACTGTTTTGATAAGTGAATCAAAATCTTCTTGACTTAAAACGCTTCCTGAAGCAGGGGGCTGCTGAGATCCTTCTTCTTCAGTATTTTGTGGTTGTTGCTGTTCTGGGTAATCTTGAAAATCAAAACCATCTCCATATTGAGCGTTTTGATACATTTTTGATTTATTTGAATTTTGGCACTTTTGAGACGTAATTTTATAGTGAAACAATTTCGATAAAACATGATTTATAATGATATATCAGACTAGTAAAACTCGAAAGTATCGAAAAAATCTTTTTAAATTGATATATGTTTTGAAATATTTGATTTAAGTCATACAATATTTTGAATTGATTGGCTATTTTTAAGTAGAGAAATTTTTACATGTCAGTTTTTAACGATAGAGAATTTCTTCTGTAATAACTTAATATTTATGATTTGCAAAAATTTAAATTCAATTGCATTCATTGTTAATTTACCCCTAGAATTATTTTTCCTAGGGTTACTGATCGCTTCTTTTCAACTCGCTATTCCAGAAATGAAAGAAATGCTTGATGCAGCCTAATTTATTGCTCCAAACAGCAACTTTCTTGTATAATATAATTAGTTGCCTTTTGAGTTATTCTCACGCAATATTCAATTTAAAATCAATATCATTAATTTTAATCATATTGCAACAATATCGCTACATATTGACAAGGTCAAGATTTCTCAGGCCAAATCGCTCAATAAATATCAAAATTTATCATCTCGAAAATGGAGCGACAAAATTTCTTGTAAATCTGAATATTTACGTAACTAATGATTGATAATCATATGACTTGATTATATGAAAAGTTATTGATATTTGAGGAAATTTTTGCAATAAGAAACAATAAGTCGACTTTATTATATAAATTTACAATGAATTACAACAGTTTCTATCATAAATTCACAGTAACAAATACAATCATTGGATATTTCTGATATTAACAAATCCAAAATTATCCGAATATTAAAAACGAAATGTCACGCTACTGTCACTATATCTATGCGAATGCTGTAAGTTCCCATTCATATATTTACTTCTTGTTTTTGAAATAATATATTATTTTTCAAAACGAAAATAAGAAATTTGTTATAAAAATAATATTTCTAAGTGTAATCAAGGCATTGAATCAACTCAGAAATGAATATATATCAAATATGATATCAAGATCAAATATTAGATGTTTTTTATGAGTAAAAACGAGTTAATTTGATTATTTGGATTATTATCCAATATTTCCATTTTTCATATTTTTAATGAAATTTTTCATCGATATGATTTTTTTTTTGGAATTCGAGCTCTTTAATTAAGCAAAATTTAAAGTGTAGTTGTTTTTATATATCCAAAAAATGATGAATTAAAGGTGCATCTTAAAAAATTATGTTATATCACAAATATCATTCTTTTTTTTCATTAATTTTCAAAGAATTGTACAAAGAAATGATAAAGAATCATCTGTGTTGGTAAAATATTAGAATTAAAAGAGTAAAAATAAAGTTTTTATTCCTTTTTAACGAAGAAATAAATAAAAAATTGCGTTATATCAAATTTATAATAACTTATTATTTTCTTCACTTATTGAGAAAGAGGATTCAAATTAAAATATGTGAATTAATTACAATCAGAAAAATTAACATTTATAAATTAAAATTACATACCGAGTAACCCTTTGAGTGCAGTTAGTTCTGCATTAGAGTATTGTTTCTTAGATTTCTTCATTTCAACACCATTCTCACTCATGAGGAGTGTCTGTCTTTCTTTAGCAGCGCGAAGTTTACCGTCCTGTTGATTTTGGAAAGTTTTTGTTTGCAAAGCTTTCTTATTTAGAGCTAAGTATCTAGTTCTAGCATCTATCTGTCTTGTGTGTTCTTCCATTTCTTGTGCTTCTTGTATTCTTTGCTTCCTTTTCTTTTCCAGCTTCTTTTCGAGCTCGATAATCTTTTCTTCTTCCTCCATTTGTTTCTTTTCGAGTTCTTTCCTTTCTTCTTCTTGTTTCTGTAACCGAAGTCTCTCGTGTTCTTCTTCTTTCTGTTCCCGAGCAGCAGTGACTTCATTGAGCATCTGGATGAGTTTGTCCATCTTAGCTTCTTTGGCTTTCCTGTGTTGCTCAATTTGTGTTTCAATTTTTGCACGTTTTTCTTCTGCATGCTGGTCAACAAGAGCTTGAGCCTCTTCATCGGTGAGAGCTGCTAAGAATTTTGTATCTGTGATTTCTATTTTGCCTTTGAAAGCATCTCCATGTCTGTTTGTATGATTTTTGAGTTGATCACGAACTTTGATTGCATTTTCTTTAATTTGTTTTGTTTTTTCCGCACGCAACTTTGATGCAAGCTTTAAATCTTCACGAACTTGCTTTCGAACTTCGCGAGATTCAGCAATCTTTCTTTGCTTGACTTTTTCAACATTAGAAACAGGTAGTAAATCGCGCTGATTCTTGAGTTCAATGATTTGTTGTCTTTCTCTTTCAATTTCTTCGCGAACATTTGCAATTTCCTCGCTAAACGTTAATCTCATTTGTTTACCAACTTCGAGTCTTTCTTCAATTGTTTTCTTTTTAGCTTTCATTGCCTTTCTTCTGCAGTTATTTAAGTCTGTTCTTCGAGCTTCGATGGCAGCTTTAAGTTCTTCTTCATCTTTTTGGCGCATTTCTTTCTGCCATGCTAAAAACTCCTTGGGATCAGATCCTCTTGCTTGTTCTTCTTTCTTTTGAAGAGACTTCATAATATAAAGGTCTCTTTCTAGGCTAGCATTGGTAGTACGGTAGTCAACTGAATCGAATTCTGGTGTTTTATTTTCGAATTTAGGTATTGGTACTGGGCTGGCTTCTTTCGGAGGGGCTTTAGGTATTGCAAGAGTTTCAAAATATTCTCGAGCTTTAATCGGCTCTTGTTTTTTAGTTGTCATGAATGTTTCGGCCACATACGTTGATTTTGGAATCTCTGTTGGATGAATTTTTACTTTCTTTCTATAAACAACAAACTGATTTATCGAAGACATTCTGAAAAAACTACGTTATTATTTCCTAAAAGTGACAAAATCCTCAATCTTTATCATTCTCCTAACTACAGGCAAGAATTTTAATAGTTTGAAGCATCTACATTTAAAGAAGTTGCATAGATATGTTGCATGTAAGAAATAATAATCGCATGAGATTTGTATATTTTAAAAAAATTGAAGTCCTATGGTATCTTCTTACGATGGAAGTATCTGCGGAGTGGTTGTGGCATTTCAACACGTGTGTCTCTGTATTGGTTTTGTTTGAAAATAAGAACAAAATCACTTGTGATTTCGATGGGATGACGGTCGCATCAGTCCATCCAACTGTTATATTGTAAGAGGAACTCGGAATCAGTCGTGCTATTGGCAATATTCAACAAAACAATCCAAAAGACCTCGGTTTGGTTAATAAAATTAATTCTAATTTATAAACTCAAAAAGGAATCCGGACACTTTTGTAGCCTAGTCAATATACTTTCTGAAAAAACAGTGCCGTCCAAAATTGAAAAATTGAACAAGAAAATTTTGCATGACTACCTACCTATAGGGTGCACTTACCATTTTTTGACATTCTCTCTATTTTTTTGACATGAGCCAGTTTTCATATATAAAAAGTTAATATTTTTCGTCGGATGAGGCAGTTACCATCAATGACCTGTTAGAGTGCGTATGAGAGCTTGAGGACGATGCATTTGATGACTGCATCTTGGACAAATGACTAAACCATGACAAGAATGAAGAAACACCAATGGTGATGAGATCAAAGCGGACACCTTCATTGTAGTCCTTGCCTTGGAGCTTGTAAAGATCTGCTCCGACTTAACTTGAACATTCGTTGTTGAAATCAACTTATCCCATCCAACGATGGATGTGGAGAACTGGCTTTGGCATTGACTTGAATGAACGGAAAATCTGGACAAATGGTTTTGATTTGGCAATATTTTTGCGGAATTGTTCCTCACGAGCAGCAATGCATGTTATAACGACGCTAACGATGATGAAGATGCAGCTGCAGATAATAACAAGTTGTTGGTAGTCGAACATTGTGTACTGGGCAACATTGATACCACCAATGAAGTTAGAGAAGACTTGATCCAAGCCAATCATGGTGGTAACATTGGAGTTGGAAAGAAATTGTGATAATCAATAATTAATCATAGAATGATTTCCGTTTAATTTCAAGATATACTATGAACTTTTAAAATATTTATACTTTACTTGCTAATATAGAAAAATTAAACCAAAAAGATTGCTCAACTTTTCAATTCCTCTGGAATGCTTACTTAACAGCATTTACTGACATGTTATAAAACAATGATGTTTACAAACAATAGTATTTATTCTATCATACAAACAGTTTTAAGGGAGAAAAAAATACAATCAGTTGTCTAATCTAATCTTTTCTACAATTAGATTGATTGACGTTGTTTCGTCTTTTAATGATTTAGCAATTTCCCGCATTTCATCAATATCGCGATTTGAAAATCCTAATTTTGGTGATTCTAGAATGTAATTTTTATCTTCTAAAAACTTTCTAAGATCATCAGATTCGTTTTTAAAATCTTCTTCGACTTTATTATCTGTCAATTTCGTTTTCTTTACACCTGTTTCTTTGCTTATTAGCGGATCATTTCTTTTTAGATGTTCTTCATACTCAGATTTTGCTTTGTCGTAATGCTCTTTGCTTAAACCAAAAGGATTTCTCTGAGTCATAAAAATTAAAGTCAAAAATAATTTTTGCCGACCAAATAGTTTGTATCGTCAATGTTTTTAAATCATAAATCCTAGTTCCGAAGAAATATACAGTAATGGAAGTTCAAAAATATGTTCAAAATGTTGAGATGGCTCTCTGATGAATCATTGATAACGTCACCCGGAAATATGAGGACCAAATTTAGACGCAAACCTTGGTAGATCTCCAAGATACGTTATCCATAAGGCCTAATGCAAACTTTTCGAAAGTTCAAAAACTAATTCCATATTTGTTTGCACCAATTATTGAACCAAAATCGATAAGATTGTTTAATAGACATCACGAATCAAGGCATCATGTAGTGTTATAGGCTAATAAGCAAATAATTCATAGACAATTCAAAAATTGTTAATTTACTACAATCAATTTATCTGATAACGAAACTTTTCACGAATGAAAATTCAAAGCTTAAGATCAAAAAATTATTCCGATTACTTTTTAGAATAGATAGTGGGGTTTTAGAAAATCAACTTTTTAATTATTGACAGCATGTATTAATCCGAATAAACTATAATTTAGAATATGACACTTTTTTGGAATTGGAATAACTGAGTTTATCCATATTGCCCATATAGGGTCGAAAAGTGACAATAATGGAATTAATCATGAATCAGGAATAATACAACCCCATACTTATTGGTATTTACATATTATTTGTTTGTGCAACAAGAAAGAAAATATTATTCTAATGTTGATGGAAAAATGTAGTAATTATACAGTAAAGAATCATAAGATCTGAATATAGAACATTCTCTTTCGAATTAAGAGCATTAACTTGCTGAATAATTTTTTCGAGAATAATTTGCATTGATTTTACAGAATCATCAGGAGCTAAACGAGTTTCATATATGGAAGCTGTAAATATCCAAATTAAGTCATTTTTAGTGTAATCTAATTCATATTTGGAGAAATAAGCAAAAAGATCGCAAATGTCATCGCATCCAGAAATTTCACTAATCTGAGGTGGTTCTCCATTTTCTATTCTTTGAATTAATTTATCAATATTTGTTTCTTCTGTAGTTTTACTTAATACTGATATGTAAATTCTCATATATGAGAACCACATAGAGAATTTCTTGAGCCATTCTTGATCAGGTATGAATTTGTCCAGAAGTTTTAACTTCTCATCGACGGGTTGAATATATTTAAATGAAAGTGTAGATTGATCGAGATCTTTATCAATATCGTTTTCATTTTTTGAGGCTTCTTTGATTTCTTCAGCTTGAGTTGGATTTTTTTTCTTTCCAGTCATTAATTCCCAAACTGATGTTTTCATTTCAATATTAATAAAAAAAAATTAAATGTTTATGATTAGCTATCGTGATACCACTTATTACATATATTCCAGTTTAATTTTCAAGCGAAAAACTGAACAAATTAAATTGAATGATTATTCAAGAATAACTTTCACAAAAAATTATGAACTAAAAATTTAAGATATTCAGAATTTTGATATATCAATTTTGAGCAAACAACTAAGAGCATGCATACTAGATTCTATTTAAAATGATATTTGCAATATAAATAGCAAAAATATTAAGATTTGACATCAAAATGAACAAATTAGATTTTTGGATTCAAAATTCGATCACGGAAAATGATTCATCTATTTTTGGATTTTTGATAATATTCAAAAATTGAAAGTCAATATTTGCACCTAATCCTTTCAAAAAATATTGATATATATGAAAGAGTTTTAATAATTAAATAATATTTAATGAAAAAAAAATATTTCATAAACGAATTCATAAAACTTCTGAATTTGAAATGATCAATAAATAACCGAGATCTATGTGTTATATGAGATTGTACATCATTTCTCAATATGTGAATTCTATGTTAATTCAAATTTTAAAACGCACCAAAATACTTATCCCAATCTTTCATTTCATATGACCTGCATTTTATTTTCAATACTGCCATGTTTTTAAATTGAATAGTTAAATTCACAATTCTCAAATCTCTCAAAAACAAATATCGACCATTTAATTTCAATAGTTTATATTTATGATTTTGAAGTGATTATTCGAGAAATATAACACAATTGCTGCGCCTATTAATCTTGCATTTTTGATTTAATTTTTATTATGTTATTCTATTTCAATTACCTTTTATTTTATATCCACTATTTATTTAACCGTATATGGTCACACTCCCGATATGTTGGGCAATCATCATTATACAAGTTTTTAATTCATATTAACTTCCAAATGATCTTAAAAACTTCATTGAAATTAAAAAATTATTAAGAACATTCTTATGAGTCATACTTTGTCTTTTTGTTTTTGATTCATTTCACATGTTGTAAATGAAAATTTCGGTTATTCTTATCACTGCAAAAAATTAAATTGCCTTTCTGACAAATCACATTAATTTAAATTTAAATGAATACACTCTAATTCTTGAATGTTATCTGCTCACACCTCAAAACCAGAGTGGAGGTACTTCTATAAATTCAAATATAATTTAACCTAACATTTATGAATAAAAATTCTTTATTTATATAATTACTCTAATGTTGGTCAAGTATCACTATATAAATCACTAATTTTTGGAAATCAGTTTCTCAAAGAATATCATTAATATTTTATACAATTTTTTAATATTATTCTTTAGCAAAAGTTTATAACATATAAGATGAGCAGCAAAATATAATAAAAAAACGATTTTTAAATAATCGCAATTTTAAAATAAATTTTTTCTTGGTAGTTAATGCAAATAATTTTAAGAATCATCAGATCAAATCTATATATATGAGTTTTTATATTATTAATTATTATGGGCAGATGGCACTTTTCGATAATTGAAATTTTAACAATAGAGTTTTTTTATGAACTCTTTAGTTCAGCAAATAATTGAATTAATTCAGCTGTAGCAGGATGCCTACGAGGGCCAATCCTTCGTAGATAAGCAGAATTTTCAGGAATATACATGAACAAATGATCGTGATCATTGTATTAAAAATGATAAATTATTGATTATACTCTCATATTAATATTAAATCATTAAATAAAAAATTTTCATAGATATTTGATAAAATTGATCGAATTTATGAAAAAAATGTTCGAAATCAGCTTTGTTAACTTCTATTCTAATCGTTTTCATACAATAAGTTTTTATTAAATTCGTGTAAACTTCAGAATAATTTATTTTGATAATAATTGATTTAACGGAATTCAAAATTTCGTAATAAATTCTTGTTTAATAAATTAATATATCATTTTAACTGAAAATAAATATGATATGAAAAACAATTCAATGGCCATTTCAAAAATTTGATTTGGCGGATTTTAAATGCAAATGAATTTTGCATTCTGATCATTCAACAGCTCCTGCTTGAAAATGCAAAGCAATAAAAATTGATTTATTATCAATTTTTATATTTACCGTTTCATTTCATTTCACTTTAACAATGGTTTCGATGAAGGCTGTCGATTATATTAAAACCGAATCACTGGTTCGAAAGATTGTCGCCATATGTGCATTTCTATTCATCGGTGTTGGAAGCTTGGGATTCTTAATTTACTACTGCATGTGGACCGATAAATGGGATGAATTCCCACGTGAATTTAGAAACGACAGTTTCAAGAAGATATTTGGTGTATTAGGAACTGCCCTTGCCCTTGCCATTGCTACTGTTGCCTGCTACGGAGTTTGGATTATTCTCTTCAATTTGATATTCTTACTCTATTCCAAGGACTCATTTTCTATGGTGCTCTTGGTGTTTCCATTGCATTACTTGTATTTGGCTTAACACTTGCGATCATGGTCAAATCTAAGCCGAAGAATGATCTCTCAACATGTCAAAAGGCTGGTTTTGTATATATTCACGATTGGTGCCAAAATACATTCCCACAAAGTCTTTCATTCTTCATTATCCTTCTCATTGGAGATATTTTAGCTGTTGCTCTTAAATTCTTCTTATAAACCTAATTATTGAATGAAAATTTTATCAATATTCTGTCTATTTTGTTATTAAACAAATAAATGACTCAATGTCATAATTGTTTGTTGGATCTTGCAGCTCCAAAGAAATATTGAAATTAGATTTTATGAAATTAGATAGAAATGTATGTGCCGTTGTAGTTTGTGTTGTATCGCCGAAAATCCAGTACTCTATGAGGATTCTGATTTTGAAATTGTGGGCTCTAAAATTTCTTTTTCAAATGATAGAATGTTGTTTTCATTCAATGAAAATATATTCACTATCCACATCAGTCTATATGGGAACAAATTGCTATAAATAATTTCCTCTTAATCTCGATGGATTGCAAGATAGAGATGATGAATATCTCCTAAAAATTGAAACCGCTATCTAAATTGATAAGAAATTTAAGTGGAACCTTTAAGGGATCATTGCACGACCAAACAAGACCTATCGTCTTATAAAAATCTTCATCGAGTTGATGTTTTACTAAGGCTAAAAATTCAATAAACTCGAAAAAAAATAAGTTAGGGTCATTTGAATCCCTACAAGAAAAGTAATTCAATGAATGATCATATATAGTTGCGTCGTTTCCAGTGGAAACGTAAAAGCGGAGGAAAATCTGACACTAAAATTTTTCTCTCCTTGGTCTCTTTTTTTCGATTTTCTACGATATCTGTTTGAAATAAATAGCTACTTATGCGACATAATATGCAGAGAAATATGTGTACAATATGAATGCATAGCAAAATCTATGACATATTAAGTTTTTCTTCAAGATTTCGAAATCTTAAGGTCTGAAAAAATCTCGGATTTCGACGCCGCTTATGATACATATGAAATCAATACTACTAATACGTAAATGTAGTATGCTGCGTTTGATCTAAAGCACTTCTAATGTTAGAGAAACACTGACTTTTGTTCACCTTTTTTCAGAATCAGTACATAAATAATAGAGTATTGACATCAATACTATAGCAGAATTTATACATTCATATATATTACTCATATAGTGCACTATATGATTGTACACGTTTTAAATTCACTTATTGAATATTGGTCGAATCGTCCTCAAGTAAAAGTCATCGTCTTAATTTGTCAAAAAATTCAGAAGTAGGTTTCTTGATTCAAGTTTCAAAGATTCTAATGCAACATACAATGCATATATGCGATATAATATATTTTTTATTCAAATTTGAAAAAAAAAGGTTGTTAACGTTCCGGACATCTTTTATTGACTGGCTTATAAATTTTTGTATGCATCATTTTAAAAGATTGGATTTTTTTATGTAATGCATGAAAATTCGGTTCACTTCATTTTTGACACTTTACATATCGGATGTATTATCTAAGAATTATATTATAAAATAATAATTTTGTGTTTTATAAGTTTATTTGTATAAATTGATTCAAAAAAAATGGAAAGACAAGAAGTGGATCTGCCAAATGAAAATCAGATTTATAGTTTTAGAGAGTTACATACATGAAATATGAAAATTGAACTTTGTATAAGGAATTGTTGGCTATGATGTACTGATCATGAATCAGTACATCATAGCCAACAATTCCTTCGCAAACAGCGGGAAACTTTGTCTGAATAGTTTAACATTCAGACAAAGTTTCCCGCTGTCAGAGAGGGAATGGAAGGGTAAGAGGTATATATTCATAATGTATACCTCTTACCCTTTCATTCCCTCGAGAAAGTTCAAAAACTTGGGTGCAATCAGAACTGATTGCACCCAAGTTTTTGAACTTTGTATAAGGAATTGTTGGCTATGATGTACTGATCATGAATCAGTACATCATAGCCAACAATTCCTTCCCAAACAACCCGAAATTTGTCTGATTCCACACTAATTTTATTAATTTATCTAAACTTTTATCCTCGTCTACAATTTAATCATCAATAATTATCTCTTGTTCTATTTCACTATTATATATATATATTTATATGATTTGATTTAAAAAAAATAAATAAATAAATTAATAAATCATTTACTCAAATATATCAAAAGTTTTATTTTTATATATAAAGATAACTACTTTTAAAAAAAATACCCTATATATTTTTGCCATGTAAACTTGTCACTTTTGTCAGAAGTGAAGTGAACCGAATTTTCATGCACAACAGATTGGATTTTTTTACATTTTCCTCTCAATTTGTCTGATAGAGTCTTGACCTTTGACTATCGACTTCACTTTATGGGGGAGTTGTGTAAAGGCAGGGGCGGCAAACTTGTAAAGTATTTCAATATTATTTATTTAGATGTGTAGCATTTTCTTCATTTAAAAAAAATATTTTACACGACACAAAAGTATTCAAAATTATTTCCAACGTATGCTAATAATTCAATTTATTAATACATATCATGAAATGATTTGATTAAAAGTGTCTAAAATGTGTTATTTTCTATTCAATTGCGTTTACCAATTTGTCAATAATTGAAATCATTTCAATTGCAGAGTAATTTCATTCTTCTAAATGAAGTTTCTTTGCGCATTCATCAACAGAGGCGCTGACAATGAGATTAAAATAGATCTCTCTGCAAAGCCAAAGCGAACATCACCAAGAAATCTTCAGAAAAAAACTTTTTCTCCGCCTTCAATTACATACGTTACACCAATGATTACATCGTGCAATGCCACGATAGATTTATCATTGGAGTTCGATGAGTTCAAAGAATTCAAAGAATTCAATGAATTCCCTCATGATTTCCATTTCATCCCAAGCGATTGTTAATTTTGTTTTTTTATTTGTTATTAGTAGGGATCCCGTTTGGAGAAAAATCTTCTCCAACTCTATTTTCTTATTTGGAGAAACTTTACAAATTGTAAAGTTGTTTACATTTTTTATTGTGCTTCAAATATGCATACAAATGCAATATTGTTGATAGAATAATATTGAACTTTGGCTGCTTTCTATTATTAATACCAAATTCCTTTGTAATTACTTTGCCAGATCTCCATTATTATTAGAATGCAATTTTTATAAAGACCTCATATACTTGTTCAAAGATTTATCTGTTATTCTTATAAAATCCACATTAACACCAGTCTCAGATACAACACAGATGAGAGAATTCAAAAATAAATAAAATATTCCTACAGATTTTAGAGAAAAATCCTGCTTAAAACATGACAAGATAAGAATGATATTAATGACAATTGAATAGTCAGTTCTGAAGATCTTGTTTCTTCTCTTGAATTATGATTCTTTTTAAAGTCAATAAATTTGTTGTTTTATTGTTAATAGTCTGGAATGCGCCATTGTGATATGCTAAATATGGCTAATACTTAGACAATCAACAAATTATAAATTTTAAATATGAATAGAATTAAGTAAAATAAAAGTTTCATTTGCTATATCCGTGTAATCTTTATTAATATGTATACTAAAAACTCATTCTTTCGAATAAAAATTTTTATTCAAATATATAGAGAATTACATAGTAATTGAATAGTTATGAGAGTTCTAAAATTGTTTGGTTCTTGTGTAGATGTAACATTCTTGGATGTAAAATTAAGATTTGAAAAATATGTCAATAAAAAAATGCAGTGCTAGATAAATGATTGAAGAAAATATAAGCTTCGATGATTGTAATAGTAGTAATAGACTCGGAACCAAAATTAATTAGACTTTTGTTAAAATTTTAAAAAATCGTAAAATTTAATCGATTAATCTTGGATCTTTCATCTGGGATCTGATGGCCTTGGCAATCCCAATAATATTATCCATAGAAAGTTTCTTAGGAAACAAAATTAAAATCCGTCTCCAAAGCGTCTCCAAATCTCCTTCTCCAATGGAGAAATTGAACTAGTCTGTCTTCTCCAAGTATTCAAAATTGAATACTCTTCCATTGGAGAAGTGGAGACTCAATTTAGTTACGGGCTTGAATTGCAAAAATCAAGCTAATATTTTAAGATATGATTTTGGAACCTCTTTTGATAAAGAAATGGAATTTTGGGGTAAAATAATGTTAAATCCATGATTCAAAATTTCCCAAAAAAATCACGATTGTTCAAAAATGACATTTATAGGTTTACATTTTAGTTTACAATTTTGGAGAAGATATTTTTTTTTTGGATTTGGAGATCCACACCGTTATTTCTCCAAACGGAATCCCTAGTTATTAGTAAATGATTATGTTTTATTATCAAATTATTACCAAATCTCTTTATCAGATCTCAATTTGATGTGATTAACGTTCAATATGAAACGATATAAGATAGAAAAAAAATTAATAATTATATGATTAGAGCATATTAAACATTATACTTTAAAAACACAACAATACAAAACAAAAAAATACCAACCGTTAATACAAAGGCATTGGCTGTGGAACAGTTTTACGAAGTTTTGGAGGAACTACAGATGTTAAAAATCTTGAAGACTCCTCACACTTTTCTTGATGTCTGACTTCATGTAAATAAAAGTCTGGCATTGTATAATGTTTTACTGGTTTTAAGCAACCGCGGTTAATAATAGAATATTCTACAAACAAATAATATAGTGATAATTAACACAATGTAAAATCTAGAATATTCTATTAACACAATCTAGAATAGATTAATGTTTAATGTTAATTTTATTCAAATACCGTAAATTTGGGAATTTTACGTGCTGAAATAAAATTGCAACCTATGTTTTGTAGTATATGATACTAAAGTAAAGTATAACTTTGCTCGTTTACTCGCGTAATTTTATTTTGATTGTAAAAATTCTGAGTTCCGATCCTGAAAATCAACAATTTAACACCTCTTGACGAACTCTTTTAAATGAACATAAGTCAATTTTTTTTAAGTTTTTGAGGGTATTTTTTTAGGATTATATTTGATTGTTGAGGAAGTTACTCTTCTATTTTTCAGATATACTACCATAGACGAGTAACAAATGTTTCAAATATTCTGAGATTATTCTAGTGGTTCTCTTTTTTTATTATTTGTAATTGCTAAACGTTGACTTGGAGCCACTTCTGGTTTTTGTGATTTAGAAATCTGCGCATTAAGTTGTGCCAGTTCAGCTTGAAGTTTGGATTCTTCTTTTTTAAGTGAATCAATTTTGAGTGAAGCTTCGTATTGGCTTTTGATTCTGTAGTAACGTTCTTCTTGCTCTTCTAACTTTTTAATATCATTCGTAAGTACGGCGTTCTGATCTTTAATGTCACTTAATTTTTTTTTCAATTCGGCAAGCGATTTTTCATATTCTTCTTTAGAAATATTGATTTTTTCGGAGCACTCATCATAAAATCTGTTTATTTGAGATATTCTTGTGTTCATTTTTTCTGAATATGAATCATCTAAATCTTGTAGTGCTGCTCTTGAAGAAATACAATTAGCTAAATGAATGCGTTTTCTTTTTATGAGATTTGCATTTTCTCTATCCCAATTAACTAATCGAAACATTTGTTCTGATGAAATTATTCTTTGTTTTCGTCTTAACTCTTCAATCATTATGCTTTTAGTCGAAGTTGAGTTGAAAAATTCATCCAATAGTTTTATATATTCTTTGCTTCTTTTATTCTCCATTGAGTTAATTTTTTTTTGCGTTGATAAATGAGCTCAGAATTTTATACCAGTATTGTAAATTGTATCAATTCTACTGCATTATTTTGATATATGATTCATTTTATGATAGAAAACTGATCTACTTCTTGTACTGAATCGTCTCGTGTCGATATATAAGTAAATTCTGGAGATAATTCGTGGGGATAATATAACTCAAGATTGTATTAGCCGATTTTCTCCAAGCTCAAACATCTACATATATACGCTATGTATAGTCTCTAGCCAGAGTTTCAGGCCATAATTTTGGTTGGAAGGAAGTGACTGTACCTTTTTTTTTGGAAAACGAATTCTTTTATGAATTTAACTGTATATTACTTGTACATAACACGTCTTGCGTCAAAATATTGTTTTATAGCTATTTTTTTGAGGAATCAAATGGCAGAAAGAACCCTAAATAAATTTACTAATAAAGAAGGAAGTGATGGTCCATGTATACTTAACAGAATTACCCAAAGCCAGGCTCCCAAAGCTGAGAATTTCCTGAAAAAAATTAGTGCAGCCCAATTGTAATTACCTAACTGTGATCAAGCTGAAATCACAAATGCATTATTATATATACAAACAAACATAAACCAATCCTATTTCTCCAAACTATTTACATATTTACCCAGATTTCGAAATTCCTACCTTTTGCTGCAAACCTCAATGTAAGTAACATTAGATTAACTTCTTATAGATCCACGGGCTTATTTTTACTGAAAATAACTTGTCATTTCATGAGATCTATTTGAAGAACGTTCTCAGACATAGCTATGCAACCAACCATCAACATCAAGAGCTCCGCCATTTTAGCTTCTTCATTTTCGTTCATATCAAATCAAATTCTGCTTCATACTTTAGAAAAATTCTGCGATGCAACTCCTATTTTCCATATTTTCAGAGCATCTTGCATCAATTATTTCTAAACTGAAGAGAATAGGCTTAGAATGGACACAAACTCTCTTACATTAATTTTTTAAAATTATTGGTTGAAAGTTACAAGCTCTCAATTTTCGTCCCTTTTGTACGTTTATTATAATTGTAGCATATTGTCATCAAGCACGCGACTAACCAGCAAAGACGTGTCCTCTAATTCCGTCCCTAGTTCAAGAATCTGGAACTATTTAAGCAAAAACATTCGATTTCAAAATCAAGCATTCTTTATTCAACGAGTAAAACATTAAAGTATGATTTGTCATACACAGAATAATGACAAGCTCTTAGAGTATGTTTAGTACAGAGTTACTGCCAACTTGAGTTCTTGAATTTGGTAAGTTAGAACAAAAGAAGCCAGATGTCGTATCTAAGGACTTGTACTTATCAGAGTATTACTAAATGTTTAAGAATGTTAGTTATTCGTCCCAAACTCGTACGTTTCCACGCGAATCTTGATAATAAATATACTATTTTGGACCTTTTGCAATAAATCTCTTTTTACCACATTAGCATATCTGTGTGTATGCTACTTAACCTCTTTAGAGACCATTAAGATAATGTTTTTTGATACTTTTTCAAGACTATGCCATAAAGTAAACGAATAATTTACAAAATGATATTAAAAAATTTAATTTTATTATGCTTTTATAAATATTGAGACTTTTTAGGACTATTTTAAAAATGTAAATAGATCAATCATTTTAATATTAGATAAGATAATCTAAAGACGTCAGATGTTTCAATAACTTCAGATCAATGACTAATATGAAATTTAAGATTTGTGTTAATTTAAGAATTAACAATGGAATCTGGTTTAGAAAGATGGAAAGCATAGAGAATCTAAAGGATAAGAGAGATTAAATACAAAATGCTGCATAAAAAGGCAGATCAGTGAGAAGAAATCATGAGGTTAAAAAGGAACATTCAAATTAGAATATAACATTGCATATTACAATATTAATATTAAAGATAATACTGCACATCATTGTGCAGTGATCCATAAATCAATATTAATATCTCATATGATAAAATCTAATATCATATTACAATATTAATATTAAAGATAATACTGCACATCATTGTGCAATTACACTATTTTAAATATTTTCATAAATAATGACTTACAAGTTAAAAAAATGTAGAATTAACTGCATGATCCAATATTGGACCGAATGTATGTTTGAATCTATAACTGAATTCATTAATGACATAAAAGTGACTCTATAACTGAGTATCTGGCTGACAATATGCCTGAAAGTTTGAATGTGTCTAGGAATATAACTGACAGTTTGAGTGACATTTTGAATGAGGGTTTGGTTGTCAGTATAACTCAAGGTTTGAGAGAGAATATGACTCACAGTTTGACTGACAATATGACTTAGAGTTTGAGTGACAGTATGAACAACAGTTTGGGTGATAGTATGAACTACAGTATGACTGAGAATATGACTGACGGTTTGACAGACACTTTGACTTACGGTTTTAGTTAGAATAAGACTGACAGTTTGAGTGACAATATAACTGACGGTTTGACTGACAATATGACTGTTGATTTGAGTGAGTGTATGATTGAGAGTTTGGGCGACAATATGACTCATAGTTTAAGAGAGTGTATGACTGATGGTTTTAGTGAGAATAAGACTGACAGTTTGGGTGACAATATGACTGTTGATTTGAGTGAGTGTATGACTGACAATTTGAGTGACAATATGACTTCGGTTTGACACACACTATGAATTAGCTTATTAGTTAGAATAAGACTGACAGTTTGAGTGACAATATGACTGACAGTTTGACACACACTTTGACTTACGGTTTTAGTTAGAATATGACTGACAGTTTGAGTGACAATATAACTGACGGTTTGACTGACAATATGACTGTTGATTTGAGTGAGTGTATGATTGAGAGTTTGGGCGACAATATGACTCATAGTTTAAGAGAGTGTATGACTGATGGTTTTAGTGAGAATAAGACTGATAGTTTGACTGACAATATGACTGACGGTTTGACACACACTATGAATTAGCTTTTTAGTTAGGATAAGACTGATAGTTTGACTGACAATATGACTGTTGATTTGAGTGAGTGTATGACTAACCGTTTTAATGACAATATGACTGACGGTTTGAGTGACAATATGAATTACGGTTTTAGTGAGAATAAGACTGATAGTTTGGATGACAATATGACTGTTGATTTGAGTGAGTGTATGACTGAAAGTTTGACTGACAATATGACTGACGGTTTGACACACACTTTGACTTACGGTTTTAGTTAGAATATGACTGACAGTTTGAGTGACAATATGACTGTGGTTTGACAGACAATATGACTGTTGATTTGAGTGAGTGTATGATTGAGAGTTTGGGCGACAATATGACTCATAGTTTAAGAGAGTGTATGACTGATGGTTTTAGTGAGAATAAGACTGACAGTTTGGGTGACAATATGACTTCGGTTTGACACACACTATGAATTAGCTTTTTATTGAGAGTAAGACTGACAGTTTGACTGACAATATGACTGACAGTTTGACACACACTATGACTTACGGTTTTAGTTAGAATAAGACTGATAGTTTGAGTGACAATATAACTGACGGTTTGACTGACAATATGACTAGTTAGTATACAAGTCTCGTGTATGGTGGCACTACGTTCCACCGTACCTAATACTTGTGAATTTGACACTTTACAAAACCATTAACATATATTTTTACAACACAAATGACAACACTAATTTAACCTTAAATATTTATAAAGCCGCCAACCACTTCACTAACGTTTTCACAAACGACTTCACTAATGTAAAAAATAAACGTTCTCACTTACAAAAGTATTGCAACTCCTCCCATTGCTGTGCTTCACATAACAGTTCATATTCTTCTGACTCACTTTCTTCTTCATATAGGTCAAAATCACTGTCAAAATAAATGTTAGTAAGTTTTGACAAAGCTAATGAAACACGTTTACCGTTTGTATCGTATGCTTGTATAAACTTTCCATTCTTCATTCCTTCATAAACGCTCAAACTAACTTTACCCTTTCTCCCTCGTATCTGATAGAATGTATTTTCACGAGGAACGAAGAACAAATTCTTGAACTCATGACCGTTGTAGTTTGTTATCTCAATAGTTTTCGTCATTACATCCAAATAAAATAAAAATAATTTTAAAAAATAAACTTAAAAATAATGATCTCACCACCCTCACACGTATGAAAACATAGCACAAAAATAAATTTAGGTGAAGTGGTGAGATCTCACCTCTTTTTTCACCTCTTTTTTTCACCCTGTTGAACTCATTGCTTTATAACTCTCTTCCTTTCTCCAACTCTTCTAACTTCTTCTTAAGTTCAGCAATGTTGTCCTCATGAAGTTTAATCTTTCTCAAAATTCCTTCTCTATCTAATGGTTGCTTTATCTTTCTAAACTGAACTCTACCATCCTTCATAGTATGAATGTAAAAACCTTCTGGAATAATTCCTGATTTAATGTATTCTACCAAAAACTTTTGTTTCATTGCTTCAGTGACTTTAGTCGTCATTTCAATCAAATAAAAATTATAATATTAAATAAAAATAACGTTATTTTTTCAGTAAGGAAACGCAGGAGTTTTACGATTTATTTGAGGAGTAGGTTCTGGTTTAAATGTTGGAGTCGGTTTTGGAGTTGACTTTTGAACAGGAGTTTGTAATTCCATAGGTTCAGGAGTCATTGAAAGTGTTGTTTGTGAAGGCGTTGGTTTTGGCGATGGTGTCGGAGTTTGTTTAACTTCAGCTACTTCAGTATTATTTACAACATTTGCTTTATTTCTTTTCAACATCATTACTGCTCCTGCTGTAGCTAGCAAACCTAGTGGGAGACCATATTTTATATAAGGACTTGACCAAATGCTATTTTTGACAGGAGCTGGTGGAACACCTAACCTTGGTGAGACTGCTCTTTGCCATTGTGCAGCTCGTAAGAAA